GTAGCTTAAATCTCATGAATTTTTATTTTTTACTCCATGGGATTCCTACATCAGAAGACCTGTTCTAAACAAAATAAAGTTCTCCATGAAGAATTACCTCTGCTCCCCAAGCTAGTTCTAACAAGAGTTATAATATAATATCTGAGAACCAAACACCCTCTCCAGATGCTGGAATCCAAAAGACAAATAGCATGCTAATAAATAGAATTGGACATGGTTATTTCTTTTAAGTCTTTGGTGCACTATACATTATCTCTGCTAGTTTTCTGTGAGTGCTGAGAGACTATATTGCTATTCTAGACTCAGGATGTGAACTTTTTCTTTTTTCACTTTTCCCCCTTAGTGTTCCTGTTGCTTCCTTGCAATATTGACTGGCCCAGACCATGCTGCAGGCTCACCAAAGGCTCAGTTTGTAAATGTCACGGCAATGTTGGAGCAAACAAGAATGAGCTTCACGCTGGTGTCATGACCCCGGTTCTCTAGGAACAGAGAGAGTTAGAAAACAAAGTGTCTCTTTCAAAGTGATTTTGTAATCCTTGTTTTTCTTATCTTCTGGTATGAAAACCCTTGTATAATTGAGTTTGGTTCTACTTATCAAACCTACCAGATGCCAAATACCAAATGAACAAAAAAGTGAATGAAGACTGCTGAGGATGAGAAGAAAGCCCAGACCTGCCATCACCGAGCTGAATCTCACAGGGCACAGGCAGGTTACTAAGATTTGCATTCACAAGGACAGGTATAATGATAGAAGTTTGACTGAGAAACCAAGGAAGCAGTGGTAACTGTCTTTTGAGAGTTCTTGGCGTCCCTATGGGCACATCTTATTTTATTGTGTTTCACTTCATTGCACATGGTAGAGATTGTGTTTTTTTACAAATTGAAGCTTTGTGGCAACCCTGCATTGATCAAATCTATTGGTGCTATTTTTTTTTTTTTCAATAGAACATGCTCACTTTGTGTCTCTGTGTCACATTTTGGTAATTCTCATAATATTTTAAATGTTTACATTATTTTTATATCTGTTATGGTGATCTGTGATCAGCAGTCTCTGATATTACTATTATAGTGGTTTGGGGGCACCACAGACTGTGCCCATGTAAAACAGCAAACTGAATTGATAAATGTCGTGCATGTTCTGACTGCTCCAGTGACAAGCCATCCCCCAATCTCTCTCCCTCTCCTTGGGCCTCACTATTTGCTAAAACACAATAATATTGAAATTAGGCCAGTGAAGACCCTGCAGTGGTCTCTAAGTGTTCAAGTGAAAGGAAAATTCACAAGCCTCTCACTTTCTATGAAGTTAGAAATGATTAATCTTAGTGAGGAAGGCATGTTGAAAGCTGAGATAGACCAAACACTGGGCCTCTTTCAACAGTTAGCCAAGCTGTGAATGCAAAAGAAAAGTCCCTGAAGGAAATTAGAAGTGCCACTCCAGTGAATACATGAACGATAAAAAAGCAAAACAGCCTTATTGCTGACATGGAGAAAGTTTTAGTGGCCTTGATAAATCAAACCAGTTTTCACATTCCCTGAAGCCAAAGCCTAATCCAGAGCAAGACCCAAACTGTCTTCAAGTCTATGAAGGCCGAGAGAGGTGAAGAAGCTATAGAAGAAAAGTTGGAAGCTAGCAGAGGTTGGTTCAGGACGTTTAAGGAAAGAAGACACCTCTATAAAATAAAAGTGCAAGGTGAAGCAGCAAGTGCTGATGGAGAAGCTTTAGCAAGTCATCCAGAAGATCTAGCTAAGATCATTGATGAAAGTGGGTATACTAAATAACAGATTTTCAGTGTAGACAAAATGGCCTTCCATTGGAAGAAGATGCCATCTACGACTTTCATAGCTAGAAAGGAAAGGCTTTAACACTTCAGAGGACAGGCCAATTCTCTTGTTAGGGGCAAATGCAGCTGGTGACTTTAAGCTAAATTCAATGCTCATTTACCATTCCAAAAATGCCAGGGTCTTTAAGAATTATGCTAAATCTACTCTGTGCTCTATATGGAACATCAGAGCCTGGATGACAACACATCTGTTTACAACATGGTTTACTGAATATTTTAAGCCTACTGTTAAGACCTACTGCTCAGAATAAAAGATGCCTTTCAAAATATTACTGCTCATTGACAATGTACCTGGTCACCCAAGAGTTCTGATGGAGATGTACAATGTTGTTTTCAGGCCTGCTCACACATTGATTCTGTGGCCCATGGATCAAGGAGTCATTTCAACTTTCAAGTCTTATTATTTAAGAAACACATTTCATAAGGCTTATAGCTGCCATAGGTAGTGATTCCTTTGATGGATGTGGGCAAAGTAGATTGAAAACCTTCTGGAGCAGATTCACCATTCTGAAATGCCATTAAAAATATTCAATATTCATGGGAGGATGTCAAAAGTATGAATATCAACATGAACGGGAATTTGGCAGAAGTTGATTCCAACCCCCATGGGTGAATTTGAGGGGTGCAAGACTTCATTGGAAGGAGTAACTACAGATTAGGTAGAAATAGCAAGACAGCTAGAATTAGAAGTGGAGCCTGCAGATGTGAGTGAATTGCTGCAATCTCATGATACAATGTGAACGGATGAGGAGTTGCTTCTTACAGATGAACAATGAAAGTGGTTTCTTGAGATGGAATCTACTCCTGGTAAAGACATTGTGAATATCATTGAAATGACAACAAAGGATTTAGGATATTACATAAACTTAACTGAGCACCAGGTTCTGAGAGGATCAACTTCAATTTTGAAAGTTCTACTGTGGGTAAAATGCTATCAAACAGCATCACACGGTACAGAGAAAACTTTCGTGAAAAGAACAGTCAATCGATGTGGCAAATTTACTATTATCTTACTTTAAGGAATTGCCACAGTCATCCCAATGTTTAGTAACCACCACCCCGAGCAGTCAGCAGCCATCAGCATTGAGGCAAGACCCTCCACCAACACAAAGAGGATGACTCTCTGAAGGCTCAGATGATTGTTAGCATTTTTTAGCAAGAAAGTATCTTTGAATTAAGGAATGTACATTGCTTTTTTAGACATAATGCTATTGCACACTTAATAAGTTACTGCTGTAAACATCACTTTTGTATGCACTGAGGAAGCAAAAACTTCTGTGTGACTGACTTCATTGTGATATTCGTTTTATGGGGGTGATCTGGAAGGGAACCTGCAATGTCTCAAAGGTATGCCTGTATTTCATAGGTGGATGCTTTTCCAGTTTTTGCTTTTCCAGTCTGTGGAATGTAAAATTGGAAAGTTTTTTAAAATACTTCTTTCTTTCTACCAGAGGGAGAAGAACAAGTCTCATTCTAGTTGTCAGGCTTGAATTTGGATCTATTTTGATGGTATCTGCTCATGAATTGCCTTCCTCTTTGCCTCCTTGAATACACTCCTGTCTGTTCCCTTTATCTCGTTGTAACAGGAAGAACAAAGTAGAGTTCTACATGGCACAGACATTGCATATTCAGAGAATGATAAAGTAACCAAGAGATTTATTCTAGCCAATAATTTTTTTCTCATGGTTTCCCTTCCAGTGTTCTATGAATATGATTCATCCCAAGTATCTTTTATGACATGTTTAGACAAAGTATAACACACATCCATAAGGAGTGTGCCTCCTTATGGGGTGGCCAGCACATTTAGATCAAGTGCTAAGTTGGGAAGGCTTCAATCCCCTCAATGTTTAATAAATTGTTCCCCACCGTATGCTCTGGTGGTGAATTGTCTAAAGAACTAACTTAGTTTTACATCACATCATACATGTGGCTGGCTCTGCCTTTAGTCTTGGGATGCCTTGAGGACAGAAACTATATTCTATCCACCTTGGTTCCCCCTAGTGTTTAGGAGACTGGTTCTGCCATCCGAGACATCCAGCAATGTCTGGAAACATTTTTGGTGTCAAGGCCTAGGGAAGCGGGTGTGCTAATGTCATCTGGTGGGTAGAGGACAGGAATATGGGAGACATCATACATTTCCCACATTGCACAGAACAGAAAAGCCCCCCAACAAAGAATTATTCAGCACAAAAAGTCAATGGTGTTGAGGTTGAGAAAGCCTGGTTTAGCATAACATGTAGAGCAGTATTCATGTTAATAAATACTAATTTAATTATTTTATAAATAATCTATTAGTTACAGCAAAAAAAATGAATCATGTACTATTTTATCTTTACTTTTCCCCTATAAGTTCATATCACAGAATTCTCATAGTTTTAGAAAAACAACAGGGAAAAGTTTTCAATCTTTGAATTATCCTGTGGATAATTACTGGGATGAATGATGCTGAGTGAGTTCTTCATTTCATTGCATGTTAACTTCCCTTAGGGTTTTGACCTAGAGTATACACACATGTAAGGCACTTTGCTCTTATATTTAAGAGCACTTTTTGTTTTATAACATGTATTTTTATTACATAACTATTTTAAATTGTAGGAGTTTCTGAACTGCTCAACCATTGCATATCAGAGAACTACCATTTGGGAGCCTTACGTTGCTGGTTATACTACAACATTACAGCAGAAGTGATAATTTTTTTAAAAAATGTTGTTTTTAAAAGAATGCATCAACAACATTAAGTAGAATAACATCTATAGGAAAAAATTAATTATTCATGGTAGAGATGAAACATCGAGTAGCTTTGGCTAATTAACTAGTGGCGAGCCCCTCCCCCAGCCATCCGAAGGTATCTGACTCCACCATTTGCTTATGGTGACTTTGAAAGCCAGGTATACCTGGAAAATGCAAACGCCATCACTAAGAAGCAAATTGTTGCTAGAGTATCTCTTTCTTATTTGACTGTCTCAGAACTCATTGAGAAAGCAGTGACATAAACCAATGTACCCACCTTCCCTACCCCATTGCCTTCGTGGTTAAGTCTTGTTAACAGAGGAGTACTGATCGAATTGAAGAAAAGCGTGAATAAGCTAAAACTCAAACTGTCCAAAAACCTATAACTACATCATTTCTTAAAGTAACTGACTTTTTTTCTTTCTTAAAATGCTAGAGTCTCACCTTATTATCTATTTTATTTTGGGTGTGATACAGTTTCTTATTGGGATTTTTGCAAATAGCATCATCGTGGCGGTGAATGGCATTGGCGTGATCAAGCAGAGAAAAACAGCTCCACTGAATCTCCTCCTTTCCTGCCTGGCAGTTTCTAGAATTTTTCTACAGTTGTTCATTTTTTTCACTCATCTGGCTGTTCTCTCCTTGATAGAATTCCTTACACTTTCTGAAGGCTTTGGAATCAGCCTGTTCATAAATGAATCGGAACTTTGGTTTGCCACATGGCTGGGTGTTTTCTACTGCACCAAGATTGCCAACATTTCTCACCCGCTCTTCTTGTGGTTGAAGATGAGGATATCCAAGCTGGTGCCGTGGCTGATCCTGGGGTCTCTGCTATGTGCATCTACCTCTTGTGTTTTCCACAGCGAATATATGTGGCCTATTCCCCAAAACCTCTCCATGGGCTTTACCTCCAAAAACACGAGGACTCAAATGAAAGAAACTCTTGCTTTTCAGTATTTCTTTTTTGTTCTGGGGTTCCCTATGCCACTATTTATCTTCCTTGTTGCTATTCTACTCCTGGTTTTTTCCTTGGGGAGACACACATGGCAGATGAGAAATATGGCGGCAGGCACCAGGGACCCCCGCGTGAGTGCCCACATCCATGCCATGCTCTCCATCCTGTCCTTCCTAATCCTCTTCTTCTTCCATTACATAATGGAAATATTGCTCTCTTCTCAAACTCTTCAGCTCAGAAGCTTCAACTTTCTATTCTGCATGTCTGTGCTTGGTACATACCCTTCTGTACACTCTACCATCTTAATTTTGGGAAATCCTAAACTAAAACAAAACGCAAAGAAGTTCCTCCTCCACATTAAGTGCTGTCAGTGACAGAGAACTTTATTGGTTCAATGGCTTACCAGTGCCTACCACACCTCCCTCAGCCAAGCAAAGCAGCCTGTTTATAAGTATATAAAATACTGGCTTAAGACTGTTTATCCAGCCTGAGGCATTTTTATGGATTTGCTGCTTTTTCAAAGAGTTGAATTGATTTTCAAAGCACAACATGTGTCAGTGGATTACATCAACGTCAATATCCTGGTTGTGATGTCGTTGTTATCATCTTGCACGTTGTTACCCATTGGGGGAAACTGATTAAATGGTATAGGGGTCTTTTGGCATTATTTCTTACAAATGCATGCAAATCTACAATTATTTCAGAATCAAAAGTTTAAAGAGAAAACCACATGTGTGAACTTGTGACGTCAGAAGGACACAAGAATGCCATCCGGTTTCTGTGTGTCTGATGCCTAGTCTTAGATGATGTATCCTGGCTTGGCTCTCATCTTTTGTTTACCCAGATATAATTTCTACTCTCTTTGTTGGAGTCTCAGACAATGGAGCTATTCTTCCTCTTCAGATCAGAAAGGAAGCTGAGGGAAGGCAGCCCTTCTAGGTCCTTGTAAGCATGTTGGCTTCCTCCATCCTGCAGAGGGCCTCGATGCCATGGTGACATGTCCCATCAACTGAAGAAAGGCAGACAGATGGAAGAGGAGGAGGAGGAATGGAAAGAGGAGGAAGAGGAAGTTGCAGTGTGGCTGCGTAGTAGCATCAGGGGTTGGATGCTGCTTTTGCATTTCCCCTAATTGGGTACCCTGAACAGACAACAACTTCCAAGATGTTTGTTTCATTTTGCATTTGTGTGCTTGACTTTGGGACCTTTTCAAGTGAAGGTGGCGATTTGGAACTCCTCCCACATAGCAAGTCTTCCCAATATAGCAACATCAATAGGTGGGTGGGGTTGGGGCTGTCTCCATCTGCTTGGAGTCACAGATGCATTTTCTGTTTGGTTGATGATTTTGAATACTAAGATATATATGTATGTTTCTAAAAGAGCTTCAGAACCCCGTTTGCTTCTAGGCAAGTAAGTAAAGTAAAAGATGTTCTTAAGTTTAGCTATAATTTGTAGTTCAGGTGTGATGATGCAAAGTGTGTTTAGATTTGCCAGTCTCTAGTAATATGGACTCAAATATTGGTTTCGAGCCCAAGATGTGCAGGCTTGATTGTAATAAACTGATGGAAGACTTTGCTTCAGAAGATCCAGAGCTGCATTTATCTTCTTGGACATGGGAATTAAGCTCTTCAACTTCCCACAGGTTTCATACTTCATTCCCCAAGGAGCAAAATAACAGCTTCCGTCTTCCTGCTATTTCCTTTTCCCACGCCCCACTAGGTGGGAGGGTTCATAGCTAATCGTGTGCTCAGGCAGCCAGCTCTGGGAAGAGCAGTTGTGTCCTAGATATAATTATTGCTTCTGCCTGGGGAAGGGACAATGAAGAATCACTTTTATTTTTCTCACATCCCAAGTTCAATACCTGCTTCTTGAATTCATGATGTGTGCACCTGCAGGTAGATAGAGGCAGGGTCAGAGCAATTTCAAACATTCAGGGAGAAATTTGTCGTTATACAACTCTCTTGAGATTTTTTTCTCATCCTATTTCATGTAACTCCTGCAACAACAGTGCTAGTTAATGAGATGAATATTAAGGTATGACTAAGTTTGTATACTATCACCAAAAGTTGTAAAAAAAAAAAAAAGAATGCATAGTAAAGCAAACTATTCTAAAAACATTTTCTACTTTCCTAGAAATATATTTCTTGCAGAAATGTTGTCTAGCTAGCATGTTGATGAGCATTGCGTAGGACACTAATTGCTCAATTTTAGAATCAAAACAGACTGAGCCTTTGTCTCTCAGGAGCTGCCCTTATCTGCACTTGCCAGCCTTGCCAAATTGGTTTTGTCCTCATCTAGCAGTGGGCTGACCTCTGTCATGGTGCGGCATCCTCCTTTTCCCACCCCAGGACTTTGAGAGATGGGGGGATGGGCACTGGGGCCCCTGGTTGCCTTGGCTATGGGATCGCAGGCCTGTGGGTCAGAGTAGAGGACTGCTGATGGCAGGGCATGGTGCTGCACCCCCTTTCTCCAATCCTGAGGCTCCCCGAGGAGATCCAGCACATACAGCCAAGTGAAGGCCAAGTAGAGAGTCTGGCCTGTGCGGCGGGCTCTTACTGAAGTGTGACCAACAGTAATATTCCAGATGGAGGTTCAATGAACAGCCCTAAACCAGGACAAGCACTATCTAACTGTGTCCCACTCTCTACTCTGAAGTGGCTTCTGCAGCCCCTAATCCTAGGGGTTCTCTACTCTGTCTAGTGGCTAAAGATGGGACACCAACTGAGAAGGCTCAATCCAGGTGCTTGGAGAAATAGACTTTTAATAATATAAATGTTATAACAATTTGAATATTAAAAAAAAACCCACAATCTCAAAAGTCTCACAAGTCATAAATGCCTTTTTTTCTTTTTTTAATTTCAGCATATTATGGGGGTACAAATGTTATGTATATTTCCCTTGCCCTCCTCCCGCCTCGAGTCAGAGCTTCAAGCATGACCAGCCCCCAGACAGTGCACATCTCACTCATTATGTATGTAAATGCTCAGTCGCTCATTCAAATGCAACCACCACTTGAAGATAGAATACTCCAGACCTGAACGTGCTAGAAAGACACTTGGTGTCTACGGTTGATCTTTAGGCTAAAGACCACCCATCCGAGATACTTCATTCTGCTGTATGTATAAGTACAGCCATACTTTTCAGGCTGTGCATATTCCCATTTTAAGTTTTAAAAATAGGAGTTCCATAACTTTTGTCCACACAGAGCTATACTTCTTTGAATGAGAAAAGAGAAAGGTGGTCAGAAATATCTAAGAGAGAAAGAAACTGTCCAGATCATCCAAATTTGACTTTGGCAACCACTGGAATGACAGCTGTTACAGACAGATGGTACCAATATTGGAGGAAAATCCAAATGATCAGGGTAGGGAGAACCACATGTTTTAAAGAGAGTCTTGCTTAGCATAAACTTAAGATCGGTGGTGTATACCTTTTTTATTATTTGCTACCAAATAATTATAGACCCTTATAAGAAACTTCTATGCCAGGGGAAGTTGTAGGTACTAAGAAAATCTCCTCAGTGAGCTAGAAATATTAAGCTTTGGGGGAGAAGCAATGTAAATTTAAGATAGCTTGTGGGCATTTGTTTCACTGCTATCTTTCTAAACAATACTAACATCTCTCTTTCTCCTTGATACGTTAGACTACCTGATACTATCCATACTTTCGTAGGATTAAACAATGGTTGTTTTTAATATGTGATGCAAACATTTGAATTCATAACTGTGACATCTGGATCTACTTAATCTTTTTACTAAGGATCAGGAGTGGGCAATTTTATCCTAAAATTAAACATATCAATGAATTGTGGGTTTCCTTTTATTATTTTTCAGCATAACATCAAATCAAATATCTACTTACATCTCTGAAGACATATCAATTTTTTTTAAATGACTGAAGGTTCATTTTGTTTAAACTTCAACATTCCTGATAAGAAAGATACCTTGTAACTCTGTTTCTACTTTTGAGGCTGGGATGTGTGTTCTTAAGAGGGGGCATTAGCCTCCATTAATTAAACTCTTCTTCCTATGGATTTGTGTAAGTAACACAACATAAGTGCACACATATGTTTACCAGGTAGAATTTGAATTCGGGAGCACACAGGGACAAAGTCCTGTAACTAGATAGGACTCTGTGCTTGGTGAACACCCACGGATGACCCAAATTCCAGAACAGCTGAGAAAACTTCAGATTCCTCTGAATATGGGCAAGTGAAAAAGGGTGTAGATAATAAATAAGTGGCTAACAATGGGCTAGGATCTTGTAGTACTAAATATATGGAGTGTTCTTTGGCCATAAGCCCACTCATTTGCACGGCAGATGCTGCACTTGTGATTGTAAATGAGTAAGTCTTACTTTACTTGCTTACTTCACTGGCTTCTAGAAACATTGACCAGATATAGTACTTGGTCAGGAAGCTCAGTTTCATAATTGATATTCTCCAAAATGATCACCACTGCTTGTTTGCTACAACACTTGAAATTCTTGAACTAAGGATTTGTGACTTTGATCATGAGGTGCAATGCTCTTGGGGGCACACTGGTTGATGACAGGCCTGGAGAATTGCTCTAGGATGAGAGAGGGACCCTGCGCACAGCATTTCAGAATGGAGGCAAAGTAGATTTTGTGTGGTACTGCAGAAAGGTAGGTCGTTAGTCCACGGTGCAATCCTTGTGCTCACAGAGCCTGGTCTCCAGATTCCTCACGCTTAGACTGCACCTGCTTTTTTTGGTATTTTGGCAGCTTTTGTGCATGCAGGAGCCTGCAATGACCTAGCCTCAGTTTTCCTCGTGTTACATGGGTTAGAAATATACACACCACACGCCTTAGCAAAGCTTCTCCATCATTGGAGCACAAAATGAATGTAACCTCCAGCCACATTCATTGGAGCTTGTGCAAAGTACAGTCGTCACACGGTAATCTAGCAGCCCCTTCTGGAGGAGCGGAGAGTGCATAGGAAGGGACATGTGTAACAAAGGAGGTGTCTTAAGAAACGAGGATGGTTTGGATATAGATTCAGCAGCTAATGAAAGCTGAGTGACTGAGCAGCCCGAGCCTCACATTTCCTAATCTTTGAAATGGGATAGGGGTTTATATTCCAAGCCTAACGAGAGCTTTGAGGGGTAGTTGGACCCGAGTCCCTAGAGGCAATACCTGGCTGCCCACTGTTGTTTTCAGTTATGTTAGCCACGTGAAACTGACGAAACTTTGATGCCTTTAATCTGCAGCAACTGAAGTTTTGTACATTCCCCTAATCAATCAATCAACGAGTCAACCTCCAATCAGGTTTTTTTGTTTTCTTTTTTTTGGACAGAGTCTCGCTTTGTGTCCTAGGCTAGAGGAGTGCCGTGCGTCAGCCTTAGCTCACAGCAACCTC